AACTAACTTAAACAATTTTTATAAATACAAAAATAATACAAACAATCTGCTCATTTGTTATCTGAATATCATAAATATTAATTACACATATTATGATCAATTTTGATTCTTTATTTAATGGTGTATTACTTTTGAACTAAACATCGATAGTAAAAATACCTTTTGATCTACTCTGTACCTTCGCATCATCCTTAAAATAGTTTGTGATAACTAGCAATTTGTCAACTTATTATTTACAATTTTAATGAAGGTACATTTAAGAATATTTTTCCAACAGTAATTAATATTAATCATTGAAAGTGCAAAAAAATGTAAAATTAAAAACGAATATAAATAAATAGCATAATACAGCCGCTACAGACTTCATAATTTCGTACTGCACATCTAACGTTTCGTATTACACTAAGTACGTCGTACTGCACAGAATTTCAGTCCTCGCGGCATTCGGTTGCGCCCACCGCTAATTTTTATCGTAAAAATTATACTACTCGCACTAACATGGATGGATTGGCGATTTTCGGCCCGGAAAATTTAAATCGAACCGACACATGTTATAAACCACAAATCGTAGGCACAACTAGAGTGCAGTTTTTGGAGGAAATCTATACATGTTAGTAAAAAATCATGGGGTTCTGTGCCAAAACTACCCATTTATCGGACAATTCAACACACATTAAAATATTAAAAATTGTCGACGGGTGTGCCACCGTTGTAAAATTGTTGGGAAATATAAAAAAGGCAAGAATCGTAAGACACGCGGTTAGTTAGCTTATTATTAGTTTTATATATTGAGAAAATATGGTTTAGGGAAAATTATAACTTCTAAGGGTGTGAAAACAGTCTCCCTACAAGCAATTTACTTTTGTTCTTCGACCGTTTCAAAACTGTTTAATCACTTTTGTAGTGTTGGAGAATTATATTTAACAATTTAAAACCGCCCCGGATAGGAAACTTTTAAATCCTTCTACCAATTTTGCTATTTAAATGTTATTAGGTACTTTTTCAGGACTTTTCCGACGGTATTTCTTTTGTGGATTTTGCATAATATAAATCCGTTTCCTAAATTTATTTAGGACGAATGTGTATGTATTATAATGTTCTGTATCAATTATATCATTTATATCATTGTGTTTGGTACCCGTAGTGAAAAATAATATTTCCAAAACCCTATTATCTCTCGTATGTAATGTATTATAATAATATTGCGTGGGGTGAAACACATTATACATATTATACAGAATGATTAGCTAAGTGTGCTCGCCCCGTTTTCTCGGTTTAATTTTGCGTATAATCAAAATTCTGATTTTTGACAATTTTTAAGTGTAGTTAAGATATATTTTCGAATTTATCAAACCTTTATGATATTTTCGAATACTTAGATTGTTCACAACATTTAACAAATATCATGTGACGAAACCAACTTTGGTTTTTCAAACGAGAATCTGTATTGAAAATTCCATAAATAGACGGAGTATTAATTTAAATAAATTTTGGTGTTAAAATTTTCGATTTCCGTCAATTCGTCGACGAGATATTCCACTTTTAAGTTTAGATTGGGGTATCATTTGTGTGGCGGCACGGCGCGCGGCGTTTTATTAGCGCTCCATTACTCTCCCCCCACCCAATATCTAAACTTAAAAGTGGAACATCTCGTTAACGAGGTGACGGAAATCGATCATTTTAATACCAACGTTTAAATTTTAAAGTAATACTCCGTCTATTTTAACTACACTTAAAAATTCCAAAAATCATAACTCGAATATACGCAAAATTTAACCGAAAAAAAGGGGTGAGCACGCCTATAGTGAATCACTCTGTAGATGGTTGAAATTTTGAAGTGTTTGCGCATTGCACGCTTTTGAATTATACCTTTTCGATCAGATTGTAATAATCCTTTTCGTATGGCACACCTGTCCGAACCGGTGATATAACGATAGGTTGACGTGTTGTTATCGTTGCGCTCAAGACACGGCGCGAGGATTAACGGCAACATAAATTAATGTTGGCGTTCACGCGAAAATCGTGACTCGTCTGTATTCGGGGGCGATAATAATATTATATCTGACGAAGATTAGGCGAGCAGTCACGTCAAAAACGGTGATCGAAAATGACGTGAACTGCCATAAGTTCGCGTCGAAAATGTCGTCAAAACTACACGAAAAACCGACCGTTAACACGTAAATCATAACGCTTGGGCGCCCTTAATTAATTCCTATCAAATCACGTGTAAAAGACTTTATAGAGTTGGAATTTTGAAAATCCCTTCTTATTGCACATCTAGAGCATTAGATGAACCGCTATTCCAAATTTCAAGTGCATACGTTTTGTCGTTTTTGAGAAATATCGATGAATTTGTCAGTGACATTAGCCTTTTATGTACATAAAGATTTTGAAATAAATTCATTGTTTTAGAGAAAATTGTGCGGCTCATCGACTGTAACCGCTCCCACAGAAGTTCCCGAAGATCTAGGGTCTAAGGTTCCCCGAATTCCTGTATCTTACCTACTACCGTATCTCAATTAACTTGTCCTGTATCTTTTTTTCCCCAGTATCCTACTGCTTCCGATCCGACGAAAGCGGACTGCCTACCCACCGAGTGAGTCCCACTGGCTCCCAAAACGTCCAGAGCTAAAAAAAACTGACATTTAGACGTTCCACGCATCTTCATTTCTCCCGTATCGCCCATTCAGTGTCTTACCATCCTTTCGGCTGTATCATTTACTCGTAATACTGCATGCGTTCGCCACTATTTCGGCTTCAAGAAAACCAAAAAAAAACTGATGTCCAGATATACCCCGCCGAATCCCCTTATTCTTACTTACTCTTCCGTTTACCGACTCCAGTATCGTAATTTTCCCTAACAAACAAATCTTGGGACGGGGAACGAACGAGTTCGGAACCCTCAAAATATAAACAGTCCGTAACTCAAAAGTTATCCGATCGCATTGAATAATATTTATTTAGGTATTCACTTTGTATAAGTAGATGGTTTATTGTATGGTCTAAAATAATTTCGAAACCGATACGACGCAGTATTATGTATTGATTTAGTTAAACAATTGAACCCCCCCCCCTCCCCCGTTAATACGCCACTGGTATTCGTGGTACACAGGGTAATAGGGGTGGACACTAGGCTGCTCTATGAAATTCTGTATTATGTGTTCAACACGGTAAACGGTAAACTATGTTTAGTATTGGGAAAAATAAAATGTCCGTTTATTCGATTCTTCGCGTCGGTCGGCCGCGACTGCCGTCAGTAAATAACCACGGTCCAATCGCAGAGTGCAGTTATCGCACTGATCTACGGGTCCAAAACAGAACAATAGAATATGGTGTCCGATAACCTATAATCTCGATAAAATATCTTCTGAAAAAAAAGTATCTAATAATGGATTCTGGGAAGACCCCTTGTTATCCACCGCTATACTGGTCGAATAGGTTGGGACTGTCATCGTCCTGGGCGCGAATAAAATGAAGTCGTTACCGCCCCTTAAATATAATGATGACGATAAGCGATGACGAAAAAAAAAAATTAAAGAAATTAAAATTGTTTCGAACGTCAAAACGGAAGTTCGCGACGAGTCGTATTACTATTGTGGAAAATAATGACGATAAAATGCAGTCCTAGGATAACGGGTGCAACCACTGTTGTGGGTGAGAAGTCGGGAAAGTATAGGATACAGAAGAGAATTCAGTATATATCTGTAAGCAACGATAAACCATTGCTTACGGAAAAACGATTCTGAGCGGAGTTCAGTTGATAATGATGCTTTGTCAACAATATATAAATATATATGTCACATTATGGTTAACTAATTAAACGAGCATTATATATTTTCTTTAATAATATTTGTTGAACATTGAATCGATTTCCCCGTTTTTCCTACAGTTTTCCCGGTTTTCCCGTGTTTGTCCCTAGTTTTTCCCATTTTACGAAAAAATTTTTTACCAAGGCCGTCCGGCCGCAATCCGACGATCCGCTTCGGCCGGAAAATTCCCGTTCCCAGACGCTCCAGCCACCGAACTCGAGTTGAAACGCTCCGTTCTTTTTCGGCCGGAACGGGACGGACGCGATAAAAACGCAGCGACTCGGATCGGCACGCGAGCGGCGCGGCGGCGGCAGGAGAGAAATCGGTTCCGCGGGCCGTTTCGAGTTTGGGTGTGCCGCTCACCGCCGACGCAACAGCCACCCGGCCCGACCGCCGGGCCGCGCGGCGCCGCGGCGCGGGCCCCCGTCACCGCCGCCGTTTTAAAAGCGAGAGTGAAACGCGCACGCGTGTCGACAGCGCACGGCCATCGCGAGCCGCGTTGGCCTGTTTTCGCGGGGGGGCGTACACCCCCCGGGTACCGAGCCGTACCTCCGGCCGTTTCATCCGTGCGGGCGCGCGCGTACGCGGGCGGTTTGTCGCCCGCTCGCCCCGCCGACGAACCACCGGTGGCGCACGCCCGGGAACGACGGCGGCGACGATCGCGGCGACGACGACGACGCGGTCCCTTCACTCGCTTTCCGTGTTACGTTCGCGCCCGTCGTACCCAGCTCGTCTCTCCGAGCGACTCTGTCTCCCGTTATCGTAACGCACGGCAGTCTTGCGACTCGCGACATTTTCACGTCACAACCGATAATATCACCGTCGGCTTTGATACCGCAACAACTATAACGAGCATATTACATAAACATCGCAATATTATCGTGTATCGCAACAACACACGACGATATATTCGAATTTGTCTCCACCTTCCCCGTTGATTCGCCCGTAACGATTAAACTCGCGTCGGTCGCATCGCAATAATCCGCGTTCGAGTTCCAAGTCCGGAAGAGAAATACATTAGATCGCCACGATGTCTTTACTCTTTATTATCGTCATTGTAATGACCATTACCGAAATATTTCATCGGTAAGATTTAAATAATACATTTAATTAATTAATTTAAATAATTTTTAAAAAAAAAAAAAAAAAAACAAACAAACATATATTTAGATTTAATTTTGCGCGCGCGATATGGGTTGCTTGTTCTGCAAAAATCCTCCCGTCGACGAAACGCCCTCCTCCCGCTTTGCGAAGACCGACGATAAAGGCGACTGCGGTGACATGTTCCACCACAAATGCCGATCCCTTAGGGACCGGGAGCATATCACCGCGATTCGTAACGGCAATTTTCAGTTATGGTTGAAAAATAATCACCATCTGCGGAAAAAACCACAAGACATACCACTGTCAAGATCTTTAACCATCTACTATCTGTTCAAGGAATCCAATTACTACGACATTAAGGACGGGAAAACAAAGAGACCCCGGGGTATCGAATTTCTCCGTTACTGGACCTGAACGACAAGTTTATTAAAAACGCAAACGATCTAAAAAAAAAAAAAAAAAACACCCCGCCGTCGTTAGTTTAGTCATTTTATCATTAGGTATATCATTATTATATCGCCTCGTCGTCATATTATTATCGTTATCATCGTTTATATTACAACTACAGTTATTATTATTATTATTATCACTACTATTATTGGTATTACTTACGAGTTATCGCACGACGCATTACCGTGACTTTGACCGTTACGCACGTTTAACCGCCGTGTTCGCCGCGCTCATTAATCGCTCGCAACAGACCGCGCGCGTTCGATCCGTCGGTCGATCAATCGATCGCCAGACACCGCGCCCGCCAGTACACCGTATTTATAACGCGCGTACACACTCTGTTGCCGGCGCGCCCGTGAAAATGGCTTCGCGGATACCGTCCAAAGAACCGACGCTGGCCACCACAATCGTCGCCTGTCTGGTGGGCACCATGGCCTGGATCCTGATCGCCTCCATTTACGTGGGCGCCGAGGCCGGCCAGCCGCAGTTCGCCCTGAGCGTTTTCGCGGCCGTTGCCGTGTGCACGGTCGGTCTCGCGGGCCTGGTGTACGCGGCCCACCAACAGTTCGTGGCCAAGGAGAACCTGTTCTCCGACCGCCGCGACGCGTTCGACTACCGGACGGCGGGCCAATGGGCAGGTACAGTATTATTAATAAGTTTCGCTAACCCTATTTATAATGTAACATGAGTACCGTGTAAGTGCATATAGTAATAATAAGTCGTGGGTCGAAATGCGTTAAAAAAAAAACAAAAAAAAAAACGAATTATAGCGATCGAAAAGGATTAAAAATATATGTACGTATAATTGTGGGCGTGGCGATGTGGAGAACAGAGGAAAATGAAACGCGGAGTACAAGTTATCGGAATACGCACAATGGCGCGTTAGATTTTCGAAAATAATTCAAAGCTGTCGTCCGTGTAGAATGCACCGGAAACGCCGAGGAATAGTTCGACGTATTGATTACGGTTCGAGGCGGGGAGGGGGGGANNGGGGGGGGGGGGGGGGGGGGGGGGGGGGGGGGGGTTCCCGTACGGGGTCCGGTTTTAAAATTACCGATTCCCGCGTACACTAGAGTCGAGTCCGGTAGAGAGGAGACGGTTTTACGATTTTCCGGTCGCCACGGACCCTCCCGTTTCGAAAACTCCCGGGCCCGTCACCGAACTCGCACGCGTGCCAGACCATTAAAACGCTCTCGACGGTAGGAACAGCCGTCCGTGACCATGGACCGCCGCGAATAAATCGGTCGTCAACGTTCTACGGACACGGCGATAGACACTATTCCGATCGGAAAATAATAACCGACGGCCGCCCGATACGACAAAAACGCAAAGGCGGAAGACGGCGTATCGCCGTGAACGAGACACGAGAAAAAAAAATCGTATCGGAGTCTCCCGGTAGTACAGGCGCCGTATAACGCGACACACCGCGGTCTATACGGGCACGATGACCAACAGTCGTCGATTCCGCAAGGTCGGGAAACGATTTTTTTTTTTTTTTTGCTTTACCTCGGTTGGGTTAAACATAATTGTCTTCTTTTAAATTCTGAGAAGAACGTATCGGTATTACAAAGATGTTTATTGATTTTATTTTACGCGAACGCTTTCACTACCCTGTTCGGAGAGGAAATTCCCTCGGGATGGTACTTTAGGGAGGTAATTTATCGATTTTCTCGGGAGTTTTCCGATCAAACGTGAAAAACCGAAAAACAAGTAGTGGGCTAACCTAGCACACACCCCGAAATGTCTTCTTTCGCCACATTTTTTTTTTTTTTTTTTGTAAATCAAGTTTTACGCTCAACAACATAATAGCGTCGTATACCGCAGCTCAAAATAAAATGTAATTTCATCAACGACCGTTTATTCGGCAATGATTATAGTCATTTAGTACTGTGCTTAATAATAATACGATGTGCTACCCCCTATCTAGGAAACCGTTACAAACAAAACCCCTACCGAAAGAAAAATCCCGCGTGCGCCACTGCAGTGTACCTGTATAACATCGTTCGAAATGCATTCCTAACCCGTGCGCAGTCTTATTCGTCGACAAATTCGTAATCTGTTCGCGGTTATAGAATCCGTTGACGAGATATTCCACTATTGAGTTTGGGTCGGGGGAGAGCGGCGTTGCATTATTAACACGCCGCGCGCCGTACGGCCACACGAATGATATTCGACTTAATACTCTCCTCCGACGAAAACTCAAAAGTGGAATATCTCGTCAATGTGGAATATGCATCTTGATCCTCGTAACTCGGCCGAAATATACGCATTTCGACATTATAGATTACTCGTTTTCTTTTTTTTGTATTTTCAAGTCGATGAATGGGTGGGGGGATATAACCTCTAACCGCCCCTGCGCACGCCACTGCCCGAAGTCGACGGTCGGCGCGCGTGATTTACGGTAGAAAAATCCCACGGAACCAATTGACGTTAATTAACAAATAACGCGCGTCACGTCACCGTTTCGCAGTAAATTCTATGCGCACAGTTTTCATAATTTTAATCTTCGGAGAGGTAAAAAGAAATTAAAAATAAAAAACCGAAAATCCTCGGGTGACGATTAACGTCGGTTGTCGTAAGGTTGACGCTCCTCGTCATCGCCGCGGAATAATATTACCGGATAATATTTATTTATTTATTTTTTTTTTTTTTTTTTGCTATAAATTATGTCACGCGTAAAACGAAAGGCCGCGAAATGGATTAACGCAATTAACGCAGTAAACGGATAAACCTATAAAAAGAAAAAAATGTAATCAACGACCGTTTGGTTACGCGGCGACTTTTACGAGCGTTGTAAAACCGTCGTCTCGCACAGACACCGCCGTTAATCGCGGCGGCGTTAAGTATACGCGATAATTATATTTTTTTATTAAATTCCCAAGACGAAATCCTCAGATTTGTCGACGTTTCCGGTCGGGTCCTCACCGGAACGATAACGTCTTCAGCCGCCGCGCCGCGGCTGTAATAAACCCGTACGCAACGACTCTACACCGGTGTTTCTCGACCCGGGATGCGCGGCCCCTTTGATGGGCGGCCGATTAATTATTTACGGACACCGAAAATACAAAATATCGGACCGCCGTAGGGAAAAAACACACATCCCGGGTGATCCGTGTAAGTGGGTACACTCGTTTTTACCTCGGAAAGTGTTAACTTTTTTGGGAATCGGTTTTCTAGAACATTGAAGAAACAAGCTGCTCCAGAATATTCATATTTCTGTTGTTTTTTGTCGTCCTAAATGTCGAGGGTAAAAGCACTACTTACTTTTGATTCTCAAACGGCAACCTATATTTAAAAGTCCATAAATAGACGGAGTAGTAGTTAAAATAAATTTTAGTGTCGAAATTTTTGATCCCCGTCAATCCGTTTACGAGATATTCCACTTTTAAGTTTGGATTTTAGAAGAGTAGTGGTGTATTATTAACACCACACTCCAACCCATACTTAAAAGTGTTATATCTCGTAAACGAATTGATGGGGATCAAAAATTTCGACACTAAAATTTATTTTAACTAATACTCAATCTATTTATGGAATTTTTTACTATAGATTTGAGAATCAAAAGTAGGTAATGGTTTTGACCTTAAAAGTAAGGGTGAAAAACAATAACATAAATTTAAAATTGTAGAGCAGCTTGTTTCTTAAATTTTCTATAGAAATCAAATTCCGGAAAAGGTTAATAATTTCCGAGATAACGAGTGTACCCACTTAAAGGGATCGCCTGGTTTAGGGGTAGTTAAAAAATCGAATATTCATTGTTCTCGCAACAGTAAAAAGTTGGAGAAACACTGATCTAAACGACACCGCACTTCGCTCCCTTGAAGCAAATCGAAATATTATTTCTTCCCTCCTTTGAGGAATCTCTACGGGCACCTTGACTTGCAGCTCGCGCGATGATGATTTTTTTCAGATTTCCCTCCCCTACACCACCGTCACACGCTAAGTTCTATCCCCTGTTAACGACTACTATCCCTTCTTTCCCCCGTATATAATATGGATCGCGCTGTCGTTAGTTACAAAAAAAAAACGATTCTGAGCTGAGTTTAGTTTTACGTGTTTTGAAAGGCCATAATATTTACGATTCGGAAATAATATACATTTCGTAAATTCTCCCATTATTTCCGTTTATTATTAAAACCCCTGAGAAAATCAAAAATTAACTAAAATTTCGTTCCATTCAGAATCTGAAAGTAAATGATTCACTGAAAATTTCAGGTCACTATAGGATTACTTTTAATTGAATTACAAAATAAAAATTTCGAAAATATGGCATTTTCCCGTTTTTTCCCAATTATACTGAGAAAAATACAATGAAAGTGAAAAATGATTTTCTCGACATTTCAACTGTAGACGCGATTCGTTAATTGTCGCATTAGCAAGATTTCCACTAGAAAAATTGCAAAAAGGCACCAAAAAAAAAACACTCGTGAGCACCAGAGCTACAGACTATAGATAGAATCCAATTTCCTCCTACTCCTCCTCTCCCGTCTATTTTGTAGAATAGAATTATTATACTTTGCGAAATTATAAATAACGGTCGATACTATAATAACACGACCCCTATATTGCTGTAGGTACTACAATATTTATAATATTATACTACTTTCGGAAAAAAAAAAAAAAAAAAACAACTATGAAATGCTATCATTAGAATGTTATGAGGGCGACTGAAAGTTGAAACATCCTCTACACTGACACCGTGCATATTATACAAAATGGCATACGTTTAACGAGTCCTCGGGGGCCGAGCTCAAAACTAAAAATCACCCTCCACGCCGGAAAACAACACGGTTAAATTCTCATATATTGAAATTCAATCAGACTTTTATCACTTCGATTCGCCTGCACCAAACAAATCTCATTACCGAGTTTGAAGTAATTTGGTCTACTGCAGAGGGAGCCGCTATAAATAGTGGCGCGCAAAAATAACGGGGCATAACCGGGAATAGATTTCGGGGAAAATTCGACAAAAAAAGTCGCATAGTAAAGCCAATAAATTTATCGCAGTACGTTCGCAGAATCTAAAAAGTACTCATCGTCGGATAAAATCTAATTTGAAAAAAGTACTAAAAAAAAAAACCTTATATATACTGTTCTGTTCAGATTAATATAAAAATATAATAAACGCCTTTACGCCTAAAGGTGTGGGTACACATTGTCGTATAAAGGCCGAAAATTGTTTGCTATAAAGTATGAACACGGATTTAACGATGTTTACGGTACGCGTACATAATATTAAATTTTGTTTATTTTTTGTTCGGCACGTTTTGTAACTTATTTTTGTTTTATTATTTCATCCGAGGTAACCCGTAAATCCACGAAAATAATTAGATTTCCGCACTAAAAACCAATAACCCTGTGTCAGCCCTCGGCAACATTTGGGGGCTGAATTCGGGGGAAAGTGATCCGTTCCCAATATGTTATTCCCGATCCATAATCGCATATGTTAAGCAAAGTTTCAGCTCGATCCGTACGGTAGTGTTGGCGTAACAAACCGTCCGCCAAAGTCGACAAAACATAAATCGCATCGTAACATATTCGCCATGCGAAGTGAAACAGTGGCGTGCATGTTGGTCTCGATTTCTGGTGTTGCAGTGAATTATCTGATTTCCCCGACCCGCCGATACTCCAACTCGTTCGGTATATCCTCGCCGAATAAATAATGTCCACCCATGGCAAATTTTTTTTTTTAATCAAAAATCACTTTAGCAGTTATTAAATGTTAAGTACGCGGGGTGAACGTAACAGTGGACAATAAACGCTTATTACCCTGTAATAAAGGCGTAGCCAGAAGGAGGTTGAGGAGGCTACAGTCCCCCTCATTTACTGTGTTTGTTTTAGTCTACAGCTGTTAATACTTGATAACCGAATTATCATAACGTTATAAAACAAATCGATAAATTTAAATAACCATTATAAAATGTTGATCTTATGTAATTAACACCGTTATCAGTGATCATTATTAAAAATGTAATCGTAAAAAAACATTGTTAACAAGCGACCGGTGCCGCGTCCCTGAAATGAAGCAATATCGGTTTTTCAATAATGTTTATTATCTTTTTCCTGTGCACAACTGTTCCAGTAGAAATGTTGCTCCGATTGTCAGGTGTAGCGCTTTTTCTGAAAGGATCGAGGTGGTACTTTAGCGAGGTAATTTTTCGATTTTCCCGGGGTATTGCATAGCAAATGGGAAAAAAGTAGAAAAAACGGAAACATTTACGGAATGTATTATTTTCAAACCGTTAATATTACGGCCTTTCGAAACACGTGTATCACCGAATCCCGTTCAGAATCGGTTTCCGTTCGATCGTCGCGTACAGATGTACGTACAAAATTCTCCTCGGTACCCTTTCCAACTTCTCACCAACAAACAGTGGCCCGCCCATCGAGCAAAGTATGTCCGTTTGTTTTTTGTACACGTCACGCGCGGTCATCCGACGATTGGCCAAACAGATTCACTGTCGAGTGAGGGGGGGGGGGAGGGGGCCTCGTTTTTATCGCCGTAAACCGACGAGACGGCAGTGTTGCGAAATACAATTATTATTATTTTTCTTCTCTCTTTGTAATAAAAACTTTAAAAAGCGTATTCATTATAATATGCGCAACAATATTTATTTATCGCCTTCGGAAACGAACCGTCGGAATATAATATCCAAGGAAAACATAATTTTTAATCGTAATTTATTATTATTGTTATTATTTTAATGTTTTTTTTATTAAACGTTATCGCGATAACGCCGCGTTTTAATTAAACTCGCAGCCAGCGACTGTAATTACTTTTTCTTATCGACTGCGCCGGGAAACCGTTATTCATATCGATGTTCCGTATTATATTTCTCTTCCAACAATAATTTTATGCTAAAACGGTGCGCATTATGTATTATAATTGTGTACACAGTATTTATGGCGGGTGTTCTGGCCGTCAGTCGTACGGTAATATTGTCGGGAGAGTTAACAAACTAATCGTTTTCCATAAATTTCGCAAACTTTTCGGGAGGGCCGAACGCGTTAAATTATATTTTAATCGAAATCTAAGAAAACCCGTCTACTATCGTAATGTTATTGTGCGTCGACGCGAAAAAATATTATTGCGAAATAATTCACCGAGCCCCCTCCCCTCCCGCCCGCGAGTTTATCCGACGGGACACGCGATCAAATACGTTTAGTAGGTGCACGTAATGTCATTACGGGCCAGGTCGGAGGCGCGGATTAACGTGAATAGTAATTGATTTACTATCGATAGAGTTTAGTCAATTGATAACAGATTCAACGCGGCAAAAGACCGTGTCGTATCAATTATGACGTCAATTATTACAAAAGAAAAAAAAAACGTAAAACGTAAAACGGGAAAATGCGATTTCAAATCGATGTTTATTCCGCGTGATTTTCTTGACGAATGCGAAATTCACACGATATTGTACTGGCAGACTTACAATGTATTCGTGGTTGAATTTTTTTTGTCAACGACCTACCAAGATAGGGTACCTCTGCCTATAGACCGGAAGAAAAATCATCGGGGAAAATTCCTGGTCACGGGTGTCGATTCCGTTCTAAACACTGTTATTAAATTTCATAAAATGAAATAAAATTTGTTTCGAGTCCGCAAAATATTCCAATGTTTCACGATATCGCGCGCGACGACCACCGTTGTTTTACGGGGTCGCGTATAGGCAAATCGACCGGCTCAAAAAATATTCGGATTCGCTTAAAACGGAATTTTAAAAATGTTCCCTGTTCACTCTGTTTAGTAGGCATCGGAATTATTTATTGTGTGACCGTGACGTTTGTACTCGCGCGAACCAAACGAAAATCTAACCCTACAAAGCGATTTTAAAAGTTTTACTCGTCACCCGTGAAAATGTCTGCAACATTTTCATCCGTAGCGTTAAAGATTTTAAAAAAGATATTTTTTTACAATTAATAGTAAACAAAAAAAAAAAGAAAACCGGTAACGACTTTGTTTTACGGAGTTACACCACATGTAGTTTAGCGTAATGATCTGCCGACGAATTCGGCGGAAAAGAATATAAAAGAATATTGCGTTAGATTGGTTACTATAATACGAATGGAAATTTTAATATTATATTACAATACCTTAAAACGTATTTTTTTTTTTTTTTTTTTTTTTTTTTTACCCACGACACAACATTAACAATAGTGTTTGGCTGTTGATAAAAACGAACGCCACACCGAATTTTCGTCTCCAACCCGGCTCTCGGTGTTAATGTCCTATGACGTACGTACATTACACCATGGTAGTGTACGTAAACACATCATTACAACATGTTCGTACGCGTGTTAACATTTGCATCATATTGTGACGACGCGGAATATTAATTCACACGAAATTGTTTCAGTTGTCACCGGCGCCACTGACGGAATCGGCAAGGCCTATGCCCGGCAGGTCAGTAACGGCGACAGCAGCACTACCGGCGGTCAACACCGTCACGGCGATTAACGTTTCTGTTATCACGCCAAACACTAACACAGCATAATATGCGTATAGTTACGGTTGTACACAACAGCAGTGATTACGCATAAAACATTACAATATAATATAATACAATCGTAGTTTATACACACACACACACACATATATATATATATATATACATATAAGTAAAATAACATTAACCTCGATAGTATATTATCTATGCACGTAGAGGCGGCGGCGGTTTGTTAATCACAAATATAATACGGTAGTATAATAATATTAGCGATAACGGTTGAGGGAAAAAAAAAAAAAATGAAAAAATTACACTATAGTTAATGATTTCGTTTAATGAGCAGTACGCGATTCTCGTCTTACACGCGCGGCGTGGAAAAAACAAAAAAAATCCATCGAATAAATTTACAGTCGTTGAGTCGTGTGCGTCTCGATATCAGCGCTAGTCGCAAATAGTACGAAACAATGTTACAGGCGGGCGGATTGGAAATGATTCCGCGGCGGTCGCTTTTTACACGGTGTACGTTCGAATGTAGTATAAATCGTTTTCAAAAGTGAACGGGGAAAAAAGAAACTATAGGTGTGCTAATCGGGACGCGAAAAATTAAAATTTACAAAAAAAAAAAAAAATAAATGAACGACAGCCATTTCCTTGGTACTTGCACGGGACCGGCGATGCGACACGTACTGTCGTCCTTTCGGGCGCACGAATCCAAACTGAAGCGGTTTTTCGAAATTCGCATTCAAACGGCAATAATTTCCGCGGAAATAACTGACATCGGACCTAAATTGGTCTGAACATTAACGATTCGTCGGAGGGGGGCAGGGAACCCGATCCGCAATAATGTACCGCGCCGATTTCGGTCGAGGAAAAAGGGGATGATCGTCGCGAAAACAACACGCCTCATGGGAATAACATCTTTGTAGAGGATTCGAAATCAACCGTATTGATAATAATAAACTATTAGAATATTTCAAAAAAAAAAACACCCGTAAAAAACGAAAAAACGCATACAGAACGGCGGCTTTGCACGGTGTATTGTCTGTCGGTAAGTTTTCCGGGAGTCGGACCGCAGTCTCTCCCGGTTAGAATGAATCGATTTGGAACGTGATTTCGGCTCGGGCGAGCGGTAATTTTTCAAAAATCAATAAAACTACAATGATATATTACGTATATGAACTTTCGGTTAGTTTCGAAAAAACTCAAAGACATTGCATTTCCATTGTATCAAATATTAGTCGAGTTGCTTCACTTCCGAGACTTTAGGGACACGTTTACAATCGTCAACCGCTATGTATTTATTTTTCGTCGCTATCAAATTTTAATTTCGGAAAATTCAATCCCGATACTGTTTTCGGAATATATCTCGACCGACACCCGTTTTTCGTTTGCAGCCAACAAACACTCGACAACGGGACGGTTTATCTATAAAAAAAAATCTTTAAACTGAAACGTTCGATTTCCATTATAGCACAATGCGAACAAAAACAGTAATACATTGGCCGAGAGTGTCCCGTTAGAAGAATGTCATGTCTCACACCCGCGGCAGTGTATACATTTTCCGATGACCGCCTTCGGAAAAATATTTCAATAATGAAGCACGCCTGTAACATTATACTGTACAAAACGACCGGCTATTGAATCTCCAACTCGTGTGACATTTGAACTTTTAAGATATTTCAATCGGTTTTTTTTCTTCTTTGTAAAAATTAAATACAATTTACAAAAACGATTATCGTTAAACGCTCTTGGGCATTGCGGTATTATAATTAAACCACGTGCAGTGTTTTTCTCACCTGTGAGCGCTAAATTTTAATAGTTTCCTAGTAAAAAAAAAAATAAAAAAAAAAACTTTATCTGCGTGTCTCGATTATTATATTATTAATATTGACGGTAAATCACCGTAGCTGCAGCAGACGTTGAATCGCGGTCGCGATAACGAAATAAAAAAAAAAAAAAAAAAAAAAAACACCACGATGATAATAATACTGTTTATAATTAATAAATTTTTTTTTTTTTTTTTGAAATTCGGAACGGACCGATATCAATGTGTACTGTTAATTGATAAGGACGAATATATACGTATATGTATATGTATATCGCGTAAACGTCAAAACTAACCATTGTAATGTACGGCTGTGAATGATATTTTTGTAACGGAGATTATTGTTTGTTGTTTAACTCGGTACTGCCGATGTGCCGGGACAATTCGTTATTTCGCCGATACCCACTGCCGCGTGATTACTGTTAAGCGGGGGTAGAGTTCGAAACGATAAGAAATATTACTGTACGTTATTGCCGTTGTATGTATATATATATTATGTTGAATAAAAAGAGAATAAAAAAAAAAAACAAAAAAATGTTACCACAATGTTGTATGTTTCGTAGTTTTTAAGGCCGCGGTAGACGCACAGAGTATACGCCAATCGTTTTGTCCGTGCGGGACATTAATTTGCATTAGCTGTTTGTGTTTATCGACACGGGCGGACACGTGATCGCGTCGCACACGACAATGACAATTACCATTTGTACGACGAACTCGGTTCGGCCGTAACGAGCGTTGTAATACTTTAACCCACGTGTAACACTGTGATAATTGTGCTTGTTGGCCGGGGCAGGCACGTACCGCGGAAAACAAAAAATTCGGGGCGGGGAGTTCGTGAAAAATCGATACAACCAAACCGACATTACCAACGTTATCAATATTTATAAAAAAATGAAATATTAAATCTATATCAATATACGTTTCGCCAATGGACTTTCCTTAAACCATTCGTTTTCTGAACGCCGACCCCTCCTCGCCCTGTATACGTGCCTGGGTCGAGCTAGTCACTGGTCTTGTACGTTTTACGAACTGTGACGATATAGCGCTATACTGCTTTGTATTGTATGTGTTTGTTATTTTTTTTTTTCTCGATAAATAAACGTGTTATTATCATTAAATTTCGATTTTTAATATTCGCGTCGTACACAGTCCGGGTACCCGGCTGCGCGTCATTAGCACCGTTAAGCGTGTTACGACGTCATGTCCAATTGAAATCCGTAAAACGGACGGTTCGAAATCCGGAAATACCCACTAACACCCGGCGGCGTACCGATAGGACGGCCCGGCGGACAACGAATATCCCCCGGGTCTGGGGCTTTACACCGAGCTGGTAGACAGACCGAAGAACACGGGCGATTACTGTTTTTTTTTGCCTATCGAGTAGTACGAGGCGCGCGGACACGGTGTACACGGCGAAACGGGCGACGGCCTTTTGTTCTCGCGCCGATCTGTGTGAATTGATTTCCGAACGGGTATTGTGCGTTCGGCCGTTTTGCCGCGAGCAACAGAAACGCCCGTGCGCACACAGTAGACAGTGCTCGACGAGAACGACGATATCCAAAACAGTGCAGTGCACCCCAACAGTATCGACTTTAAAATGCTCCGAGAGCGTTTTTCGGTAACCGCGCGGTAACGGATAGGGTAGAATCGGACAGGATCCACCGGAACCGGCAGCGACGACAAGAACATCGCGTTTGCGCGATATTTTTCATCGGCGTTTTTTTTAAATTGTCATTATTGGTATAACCATACACTCGCGCACCGGGCGAAAACCGCATGTAGAAACGGCTCGGGGACAGTGGACGGACACGCCCAGCCGCAACAACCGACACCCCGCCGTACACACGGTACACGCACGCCTGCCCCCGGACCGGGCGCCGTTTCAAGTGTACGCGCGTCCAGCGTGCGACCGTCCCGCGGCAAGAGCGACCGGGGCGCGGGTCCGCGTTCCGCTGTGACGCGTCGAAAATCGCGGGTACCGTGAACGTAAAGTAGAAAAAAAAACGACGACGACGACGATTATACCGCGGAAGACCGGCGGCGACGGAAATCGGATTGCGTGTAAAACGGCGAAGGACACGCGCGCATCGGTGACGTTTTTCACCGTTCGTCCGGCGGCGGCGTTTTCGCGTCGAAAAATAAAAAAACCATGTAAAAACAAACACTTTTGGTCCCGTCGAAAACCTCGACGCGCGCGTTGCAACAACGCGACCTGAACGCAAAAATATCGCTACGTTCCGGGCGGCCGTGTCGAATCTCCCCGCGCGAAAGCACTCGGAACGCTTCGGAAACGCATTAATTATTAATCATTAACGCGAACCGTATATCATATTTTTATTGTTTTTTTTTTTTTTTTTTTCCCCCGCGATCGTTAAAAGCACTCCGCGTTTAATGCGGCGCGTTAATTAGAGACCGGCGAGGGGCGGGCAACGCGAATTTTTCGCATTCGTGTTCGCCTGAAAAAAACGTGCGCCCAGTCGGATAAAAAAAAAAAAAAAAAAAAAAAAAAACGAAAACCTAATCGAAACCCGTTTTTTCCATAATGCGTTCCGCTTTTGAGTTCGGGTCGGTTCGGGACGGTCGTAGCGGCGCGTTATTAACGACGCTCCACTATGCCGTCTCCTCCGGCCCAAACTCAAAAGTGGAATGTCAGCGGATCGAGGGAACCGAAAATTTCAACGCTACAATTGTATTTCGACTGATACTATTTATGGAATTTGTGCAATGTGCAAGTTGCCATTCGAAAACCCGAGTATAATGGCTCAGCCCCCGGAAACGAGGGTGACGAAAGAAAAAATAATACGAATATAAAATTGTAGAGCAGTTTGTTTCCGAAATGTTCTGGAAAACGAATTCCGGGAGAGGTCAATGCCTTCCGCGATAGCGAGTGTACCCCCCCCCCCCACATATCGCTAATCCACTTGCACGCAATGGTGTATTATTATTATTATTGCGGATTTTATTTCGCTCGCTTTATCGAAATGTTTTCCACCGTGCTTGATAACCGCACCTAACCGCACATAACCGTCATCGTCTGGGCTCGGGGCTTTACGCTTTTGAAATCCGCATAAAAGCGTTTGGAAACGTCGAAAGAACCTCGAAAAAAAAAAAAAATGTTTAAAATCAAAAACGACAGGGGGCTCAGAGGGGTTTGAAATTTCCACCCCCGCCCTGTGACTCTAACCTTTAAAAGAAATTTTCTAACACTGCAAAAGCGATCAACGCACAAAATATTTGTTTTGCAATACTTGCAATTGTTTTATTTAAAAACTTAAGTGTATCCAATCGTTTTCGTAGTATTCGAAAATTATATTCTATGGGTCAGAGCCATCAGAGGGCGGTCTCAAAAAGAAATATTATCATTTTTTTCATTTTTTTTTTTTAAATGCGTTTTCAATCGCTTGTTTGTGGATTTTAAGCGCATACATTACCGAGACCTGCTGGTCATCGTCATATCGCAGCACCCCAGTAATCAGTGGATGCATTATAATACATTGTTTTTGTACTATATCGTGTTTGTCGGACGAGCAGTTAGCCAAAGACTACGGGATGGACCTACTGTTGATCGGCCGAAATCCGGAAAAGCTAAAGGCCGTGACCGAACTTATAAGTAAGTGGAAACAACAAGCCGAAATAGAATGAACGCGCGCGAACCGACTGTAGCCGTAACGTGTCCGGCGCAGTGACGTGCGCCGGGCGGTGGGAGGAGGGGAGGGGGCAGACTGAGGGGCAATAAATTCGAGAGCAATTGACCGTCGGTTGATGCACAACAATAATCCGGTCGAGTCACGATGAAAACGGTGTCGATTGTAAACCGGCTTCTCTCGGGGTCCGGCTTTTCGGTACACCAGCACGGGCCGTCGGACGGGCTGCAGTGCGGATCGTGCAAAATGCGTCGCCGGCGTTAACACTGAAACGGACTAATAAATCACCGGAGCCCCCCGAGCGCAGGCACGCGCGTAATTCATAAAGGAATCCGGTAATAACGATAATAATATGTATACGGAAAATCGTTATATTTTTTTTATTTTTTTTTACGAAACGAGTCGTTAAAATCATTTCGGACTGCGGAATTCGCTAAGGATTTGACGAATTTTATCGAAACTGAACAAATTCCAATACATTTGTGCGGGTGGGGAGCGGGTACTTTTGGTTCGCGACGGGTAGGCGGTTGAGCGGAAAATTCGTATCGGTGATCTAAGGTGAAAATACTCGGAGCTCGCCACTGGCTGTACCGCTCTTCGTTACGCGCCAGCAACGTCGACGTTTTATTTTGTTCATTGTACTCCGGCATGCGGGCGGTTTTCGTTAAGAACGCATTGATTTTAGAGAAAACGCCGGAAATTCGAATTTCGGTAAAAAAAAAAAAAAAAAAATTATAAATATATATACGAGGGCTAATCAAAAAGTATCGAGACTGATAATATTACTCGGAAACCGAGCGTTGAAGAGCAAAACGATTTGTAAACCTAGCTTCTATGACTTATACTGAGCACATCCATTCGTATAAAATCTTTATAAACTTCTTTTTGATTTGACGATATTTTTCTAAAATTTGTTTTTCACGCTCGGCGATTCAGTAATGAATCCAAAAGAAGCGGAACTCGCTGCCACTCGAGGGCACATTTTCAGTTTTTCAATTGACATTTAATGGCAAAAACCATGAAATGTTGCATCCCACTGAAACTGGAAAAAAATGCAGACAAATTTTTTTTAAAATCTCCAAATCTGTCAAGTTACTCTTCTTCTGGGTTTATTACGAAATCGCCAAACTCGAAAAATATATTCTACAAAAATGTCAGCGAAATCAAACCGAAGAATTTTATAGAGAAGCAATAAAAACAAATGTACACAGAAAAAGTCATAGAAGCAAGTGATACCAATCCTACCGCTTTTCGATGCTCCTTTTCCGAATGACACTACCAGTCTTGATACTTTTTGATTAGCCCTCGTACATATAATACACGCGCGTAATACTTTTACGCGGAGGGTGGAGGGGCGCGTAAATACGGTACGACCCGTAGACACTGCGGGCCGTGCAGAGATTTCCGTTGTTTGCCGACGCAAGAACGGCGCCCGCAAAAGCGTTTTCAAATATTTATCGTTTTTCCGGATAAGCGCGCCGTTTCCCCGCACGATAAACCGTTTGACGTTTGCGCTCGCCGTACGAGAGCAAACAGAGTTTGTTTGTTCGCCACGAAGTTCGGGACGTTTCGGCTGTTTCGTAATATCCCGAGGACCGAGTCACGTAATAGATATTTCGTTACTCGGGTTGATAATAAATTACGCGTAAACACTATGATCTATTATGTTCGGCTCTATCGGTTTAACCGAGACGCCGGCCACTGTTCATTTATGTTGTTCGCCCATTACGGAAAACGCATTTTCGTCTAGCGAAAGGGGCGACCGTTTCCCGCCCGGTATCCGGCGCGCGCGGTCCGCGAAAAACGTCTCGGCTCCCGGCCGGTTTTCGCTGGAAGACGTAAAACGCCGCAATAACACGGGTGTCCGATACGTTGTCGCAGGTTTTTGTTTTCCGGCGATTCCCCAGTCGGTCGGTGGAAAAAAACGACCAATCGTATTGTGTACACTGTACACCATAATCATTTAACGGTACCACCGAGCTCCTTCCAGAATAGTTTTTCGATTGCGAGCGGTCGCAGTTACCCGTGCGAAACTGTCCCCGTCCGCACACCCAATGGGCCGGCGTGACCCACGGCGCGAAACGTGGCCGGCGGTTTTTTTCCATTCCGAGTGAAGCGAACAATTTATCGGTTTTTCAAGTACGTCTGTTGTTTTAATTTTTTTTTCATACTGTGTACGAACAATCTTGCTCCTCCGAAGTATCAAGCGTAGCGCCTTTTCTGAATGGGATTTTTCCTGGGGGCGGTACTTTAGGACGGTCATTTTTTTTATTGAAATTGTCCGAAATGCGAGTATTAGTGAAAAAAAAAAAAATAATAAAAATATTACGGCCTTTTTTCCCCGTGAACAACTTCTCAACCGGCAATCCCGCTCCGATTTACCGTGATAGCGCTTTTTCTGAAACGGCGCCTTACGGAGGTCTCGTTTTTCCACCCACAACAGTAGCGTACCCGGTGCGTACGGTGTGAAATATGGCCGGCTGGTTTTACTCTCGCGTTCACCGCAAAAACTTTTACACTATATATCGGTATTATACTTATAATACGACATTCGGAATAATCTCTGTACGGCGCATTTGAATAGTTTGTACTTTTTTTCCGTTTTAAAAGAAAATGTCAATGTTCTCGTCCCTTTTTAAACCCCTCGGGTGACGTCTGGCCCCGGTGCCGTGACCCAGGCGTTTGGCGGCGACACGGACGACCGTCAAGAAATTAGACGCTACGCTTGTAATTTATTTATAAAACAATTGTTTTTTTTTTTTTTTTTTTGAGAACATATTTAATTCGGTATTTACAAGATTCAGAAAAATGATTTGTCAAACTCGCGTGCGTTTCGTTTGTTTTACCGATATAGCGAAATAACGTAACGCGGTTATAACAAAAACGATAATTCGATTATTGTTGAATGTTGATGAGCGTGTTTACCGATCGTTCGACAGTACACTGCCGGTCGACCTCAGAAAACCTACGAAAAATACGCGAGTAAAGTGGAGGGGAACCGCTTCTTCTGTTGCCGCACAGGTAGCCGAAATCCAATCGGATTTCGCGCAGCTGAAACGTCGTCCGCTTCCGCGGTAACGGTTTTTTTCCATACAGATCGACGAATGTTTGCTCATTTTTTTTTTTTTTTTTTCCGAGCCCGCAACAAGATGAAATAAATCAACGACTGTTCTTAATCGCCTTAAAAGCGCGTTGCGAAACGAGACGGTAATCGGAGAAAAGTGCTCACCACTGCTCGCACGCGTATTAAAAATATACGTATTTGATTACACTACAAGACATTTCAATTGATTCTTCTATTAATACGGAAACATTTAAAAATTTAAATTTTTAACGTCTTTGTTTACTATACACGTTTGATTAAGAGCATTTTTCGTTACAATCAAAAAAATATATCAAATGACTGTGCAAACGTCACGCCAAGAGGATTACTGACAACAGCATAGAAATGTCACAAAATAGAACGGATTAATAGTGAAATTACTAGCTTTGCTCGATTCTGAGGTGAAATCACTTATCGTAGAGCAAGGAAACTTATCAATATCTTATATAATTATAAAAAAACAACAACAACAAAAATTAAATTAAATTCACTAGGGAATATGATAACAAAAACTAAAAAAAAAAAAAAAAACTGTTATATGATTTTAGATTCTAGGTGCCGACTAATTATTTAGGACCGCCCAAAGTATCGGGTCCCTTTTGTGTAAAATATAATAGTTTTTTTAGAAATCGCTTGAAAAAAAAAAAAAGTAATAATCAAATATTCGTTAGCGGATGAAAACGTTGGAAAAACAGTATAGTTAACGGACAATAATTTATTGAACTTAGCGTTTAGTGCGTGCGCCGTAAAAACAAAACCGATACTGTACGGAACCCATCGGACGGTTTAGCTTAACAAGTTGCCTATCGATAAATGCTGAAGGGGCGCGCAACGCTGTGTCGCCAAAAGCGGGTGGAAAAAAAATGATATCTGCGGCACTGCGTCTAACTCGTTTCGAACATTCGGAACAAGTCATACGAATATAACGACATTGAATTCGAAACTCTGTTCGGAAACTTTGGTTTTTCAAAAAAAAAAAACATTTTACAGAACGCATACGGTTCGTGCGGTGTCAATTATTTTATCGCGTATTCGGAAAGACGTCTTAGTGTACGCGGGGTTTTTTTTTTCATAACGAGATGCTACTTAAAGTTTTTTTTTTTTTTTATTCACACAAACGATGCATTATTACAGTTTTCACGTGTTCGAACGCGAAACGCCTACACTCGCTAACGAGCGAACACGTATTGTTCGTGCGAAAACCGTTTTAACGAAATAATTGGTGTTCCGACGCGCGTTAGAAATCGCACGCCAATTAAACGGATCATTTCGGTTTTAAGGGCGGCGCCCTATACCGCGGTTGCGTCCCCGCCCAAGTTTTTTTTGATTTTCCCGTAACCGGGACCGGGATGAAAACGCGATTTTCGTTCGTCCGCGACAATACGGGTCTACACTTGCGTGACCATAAAATAAACAATTCGGACGTGGTGCAAGCACAGTGTATAATAAGCGCACCCGACTGTAATTATTAATAGTTTACAAAATCAAAATCCAATGGTCAGCTGTGTATAGGTTTTCGAATACCCGCACATTAAATACCGCATAGACAAAGACGATTTTGTTTTCTTGATAGCGGCTGATCAATTTCTCCTACCGTTTTTTTTTTTTTTTTTTTTTGTTTTTTTTGTTTTTCTGTACTTCAGCGCCGAACCGATTGCGTCCAGCGAGTATAATTAATGAATTGTCTTTCGACAGAACATTGTAACGCTTATTTGTCATTACCAGAGAAAAACGGGACAAAATGCGTGCCGTATAACCTTTTGGCGCGTATCTACTGCCCGGCCCGTACATTATCGTCGTATTAATAACCGGCGGTCCAACGGCAAACGCATAATATTCCGACTAGAATGTACGCGAGATTCGCTCGGAAAAAACAACACCGTTGTCTATTTCGCGACAACCGCGGAACGTGTTCAATCTCCGAAAATCGCTCCGTAGGGCGCTTAATTATTTTTATTTTGGTGTTTTGCACGGACACGTTTTCCGTACGAAATTCACGGCAACGCAAACATCATACACGGTGCGATGTTACTGAATTATTGTAGCGTCGCGCAATTAGGAACAATATACGGGGTTGCGTGTAGGCAATTTAACGAGCGCCAACGTCTACCGCGATAACGGCGATCGCGATAATAAACATTACGTACGGTACGCAAATTTGCGTCTAAACGAAAATAACAGTATATCTTTTGATTTAAACGCGGTACTTTGTTGTACGTTTTTTTTTCCAAAGTCGAATTACAATAGCGATTAATTATAAACAGCATAACTAATCATAACTGTTTCAGAACGAAAAAAATAAAATGTCATCCAAAAGTTACATGGACTGTTAATTTTCATTTTCACACGTCTAGAACCATTGGGAGCTGTGTATTACAAATATCTCCGCTGTTCAGTACACATTAGTCGTTCTGTGTTGATTTAATAATAATAATAATTTTCAAATCGGATTCGTAAAAATGTTGTTCGTCGTAAACAAACCGTACACAACCATTGTGGTAACCAGTGGACTCTTCGGTCGCCGCATACCGTGTAAAGTTGGTACAACAGAGATGTTCCGTCCGCGTAAATGTTGTTATCAGCGCGGGAAATAGCGACTATTCGGTCCGGCGGCGTATTCACCGCGGCGGGAGGGTAGGGGGTATTAGGAAAATATTATACCTCCTATCTGGACCTCTTTAAATTTCAACATCCATTACTCTCGTATTCGCGAATTTCAAATCTCTTTGCTCTTCAATCGGAAAAATTCGACAGATCAATTGATCAACTTAACTATGAAAAGTAAATAGTTTTCAATAATAATTATTTGTACGCATAGCTGTTCGATTACGGTTCGTATTTCAGCCCACGGTTCGAATTACAAACCGTACCTATACAAACGTAATCAATATAAATTGCATATTTATTTTACTTTTCTTCCGGAATATCCAATAACTCTCTCTATCCCTCGCTCTCTCGCTCTCTCTCTCTCTCTCTCTCTCTCTCGTTGGTAAAATCCTAATTATTGCGCCCGCCGATCGAGTGTCTACCCGCTACATAACGCCGTTATTATAATGTTGCGCTTTTGCGTACGTGTACGTCCCGGGCACGTACGCCGCGACGGATGTTATTGCCACTGTTTCCTTTGAAGCCGTTAGCGGGAATTGTGCATTTCAAACACACTCCGGTCGCCGCGGAAAATCCGAAATATCGCCTCGGAATACTCGCCGGGAACGCGGTACACAAAGGTCGTACAGCACGAGTACGACGCAGACGCATTTTCATTTCCGACCGCCGTACATCACACGATAATAGCCGTGCGTATGTTATCCGCGCGGAACAAACGGATTCGTTTCCTCCGGTCGTTTGTGTTCGCGTCGGCGTTTCGATTCCGCGTAAACGTTCGATTATATACGATTCGGCCCGGAGGCGGGGGCGTACAACGGTAAAACGCGTCTCCCGCGCGGTTTTAACGGTCGATTAATTGCCTTGAGGACCGAACAAACAGTCCTCCGGCTGCGGGATCAATATTGTTTCTGGACGCTATTATTATTCGGTCGGTTTTTCGGTTACGGTACGTGGAACAATAATAACGTCGTACAAACACGACGGACGTCGTTGCAATCGTCCTGCGGGCCGGACGTTAAGGAAACGCACGTCAATATAATCCCGGCCGTCGTCGTCGTCACCGCGCGACCGCCCGCAGCCGTGTACGTTTTTCCTGTTTGAACGATCAATTGACATAATTCTCCGCGGTCCGAAATAAATGAAATACAAATACCTATACAATAGACGGCGGTCGGAAAGTTCGTTTTGAAAAAAAAAAAACAAAACGAATGCGTTCGCCGTTTGTCTCGTTAAAAACGAATTAGGAAAAGAGATTTATAATTCCGTAGCTAGTTCTTCGAGTAATAATAATAATAATAAAAAAAACCCTCGACGATTTCTATTGCGTTTAAATTAAATTAAATTTTTATTTTTCAGTTTCCGAGCCGTGCGAGGAATGTACCGGTTTTATAATGATGTTTGTTTTTTTTTTTTTTTTCTGTAGACAACTTTTCTACTAGCTATCTTGCTCCGATTTTCAACGATAACGATTTTTCTAAAAGAAAACTGGACTGTAGAGGCACTTACAAATGATAAAACAGATTTAATATGAAACAAATATTATTAAAGAAAATGTTAAATGCATATGTATTATTATTTTACCGCAGTATGACAAATACATAGTTGACGAAGCAATACTATCAACCGAACTCCGCTCAGAATCGTTTGTCCGTCGGCAATGGTTAATCGTTGCTTGCAGTGATACACTAAATTTCTCATAACGGTGGCTGCGTCCGTCCCCATTATCCTAGGACAGCTTTTTAATAATATTTTAAGCGTCGACCTGCAGTGACGTAAAACGGTCACAATTTCTGGCGATGCGATGGAAACGCACTGTTTAATATTTCAACCCACCGATACAAAGTGGTGTTGCGAAAAGACAAGTGTGCTATACATCGCCCCGTACGTTTGTACGGGCCAAACGGATTTATCGATTCACCAATTCGCGCCACTGGAATCGACTACGCGCGGTTATTAGCCGGCGGACGAATGCATTTGTGACGTTATTACGTTAATTATTTGTGTTTGCTGTTAAAACGATTGGGGAGGGGGGGGGAAAGAATACGAAACAACAAAAACTAAATACATCCGTACACGAGGTTTGCTGACCGAATCGATTCGAGTTGCAGAGTTTATCCCCGCCGATGGAATCGTTTATTGTTCCGGACGTTTCTGGAGCGGTTGCGCGAGCGTTTCGTGTGGCGTTTCTGGAAGTTTCGGTTTCGCTCGAGGTGAACGCGTTTGACCGGATTGCATGAGGATTGGCATGAGGTACGCGGGGTCTTCCTTGCCCGCCAGGTGACCGTGGGCCGTGCGAGTGTGGCCGGACGGCTCGAAATAACCTCGTCGCCATTCCGGTCGTCACGTGAGATTCGCGCCGCGATTAATAATACGTTGAACGCTCGATCTCTCCGTGTTTGTTATTTTTTTCTTTTTCCTCGGACCGATATCGACTCCGTAAACGGCTCTTTCACGGGGGACGTCGGGACGCCCGGGGTTCTATTATTGTTATTTTCCACCGTCGGAAATTAAAATATAATTTTTTTAATACAAGTGGAAAAAACAATAATAATAGTTTAACGGAAAATGTTTAATTTCCGGATTGGCACGGCCGTAACAAATAAACAGATCCAATACACGAAAACGTCAAAAACAAAAAACAAGTAACAGTTATTTTACGATATCTTATATTGAATATTTAATAACTGCTGTTGTTCGCGCGGCTGTCAAAGGCCTGCAGCGCGACTCTTGCAGCAATCTTTCAACTGTATTCGACGGCTTGCGTCTCTATATTGTCGAGACTTGCCATTCGTTTTTTTTTTTTTCGGTTCTTTACAACGTACTGTACAGCGGCTACCGGACGTTTGATATTTTCATAAGCCATAGACGCGCGAACTTGTAAACGGATTTCGAATTGAAATGTACAATTCGCCGCCCGGAGTACACGGAACGGACGGATTATATTATATTTAAATTGTACACGATAAATATATTATATACTAGAAAATAAAAAAAGCGCGCAAAGGATTTTGTATTGTGCGCGTTTACGTATTTCGTTTCGTTTATTCCTGACGTTTAACCGCCAACGGTTTCGCCGAAAAGCGAACGGAATCGACGGGACCGATAGTTTTTTTTTTTGCTCCGAATCCCATTTCTTCCCACGAATACGCGTAGTACACAATAATACAGGGTAATCACGCCCACGTCGACGTCGTCGCTCGCGTGGGTTGACAGTTTTTCCGAGCGGATTTCTAAACGTACATTTCTTTAAATCGAAATGTACGCGCAAACGACGAACGGTAATTTAGTGCGTAACGCGACAACGTATAGAAACGTAAAATAACAAAAGGCTTTCGTTTCGCCCCCTCCCCCTCCTCACCTCCCTCCGGCGGCTGCGGCGCCCGATAAAAGAAAGCGGAAAAAGAAAAAAAAAGGAAAAAAGAACCGTACCGAACGAACGGACGGGGGATAAAGAAAAAAAAAAAAATAAAAAAAAATACGAGTTTCGTAAATCGACAACGCTGCATAATTCAGTAGGTGTTAACCGCCACCATACGCGTTTCCTCTGATTAAATATTGACGCGCACGGTTCGAATGGGCGACAGTAATAATGGAATGTATCGAACGCCATTCCGTACGCGTATATTAAATCAAAGATTTCCCCGCACGATTCGACGACTCCGGCGCCGCAACGCCACGGAAACGTTATCGTGCGCGAAAAATCTTTTCGAACAAGTAATCGCGAAATAAAATAACAGCATATCGACGGTGTTTTGTTAAAAGGGCGTCGTACCTGTACACGCTTAAAAATCGAAAAATACGTTTTCGGTGTCCGAAAACTCTCGGAAAAACTCAGTGGCGTACGCCCTGGTAAAAGCGCGCGTTTGAATACAGACGATTAAGTAATAGCGTTCGAATAAACTACAAACGCGCGGACGCCACTAGAGGAGTGCTAAGGGGTCTTTAGCGCAACACCCTCCCCCCCCCCCGAACTCGGAAACGTTTCGTTCGGATGTCGGTCGCGATACGTCAAAATGCCATTAATTTGCGTATAATTCGCATCGAAACACGTGTGTAGGTTCTCTTTCGGAACACCAACGTCAATATCACCGCGAGATGTTATTACTATTAGGTACCACCATTAGGTAAAAAAGCGTTTACGCCGACCGCCGTTACAACGGAACGTCTGGCGGGGCGACGAGCGGATTGTCCCCTGTGCCCCCCCCTCCCGAAACGCCCCCAAACGCCGTCCCGTTCGTCGGAGAATCTGGGTGTTTTTTTTTTTTCGTCGACAACGCGGGAGGTTATCGCCACGCCGCACCGAAAATGTTTTTCAACAGATGTTTTCGATCGTTTACGGCTTTACGCAGACCGAGTAAAACCGTTTTTTTTTTTATTAATTTTTTTTTTTTCCCCCCCGCAGGCTCAGAGACGAAGAAGAAGACGAGGATTATATCGATGACCATCGCGCTTACCACTACGTGTGGCGCGCAAACGGAGAATTCCATCTCGTCCGGCGCACCGACAGAGCCGACAAACACTGGCCCTATTAGACTTGAATACCCGTGGTATTCACGGCTCCGTGCCTTGATCGAAGGCACGTTGCAGCCGGACGGGGGTATCGGAGTCCTCGTCAACTGCGCCGGCGTAACCTATCCGCACCCGGAATATTTTGCTTCTATGATGTCCGACGGGGTCAGCGACGTGATGGACGACGACGACGGCGGCGGCGACGACGACGACGACGACGTGCCGTTCACCGCGGACTTTTGCGACAACGCCGACGCCGCGATCAAGTGCAACGTCGCCGCGCCCGTCCAAATGTGCCGCCTGGTGTTGCCGGGCATGCTGGCCCGCGGCCGCGGCCTGATCATCAACGTGGGCAGCGCGTCCGCGTCCATACCGCCGGCCGCGCCGCTGATGGCCCTGTACGCCGCGACAAAGGTCGGTACACATCACGCCCGGCCGTTTATAACGCGCCATGACCGCTGTTGTTGTTAATATTTAGGAACGTGTTGCGTTTAAAAGCCACAAAAAAAAGCGGTTAAAAACGTCGAAAAAAAATCGCTTGAAAAATGTCGGCAAAAAAAAAAAAAATAATAATCAAAAACGGTAGAAGCGTTTAAAACGTAACATCAACTTTAACGGTCCCGACTTATTGTATACCATTCGCTAACGCTACACGAATAATTCGAACCCGGTCATTTTTATTTTATTTTTTTTTTTCCAATTAACAAAATAATCTTTTTGTTAATCAATCGTGTCGTGTCGGCAAATCGTATTTGATAATTTAGAGCCGCTAGACTGCAGCGGACCTTTAATTCCATCTACCGTCCCCATATTTTGTTTATATAATATTTTTTCGGAGTGCTTCGTTTCAGGACTGACGTTTATAAGCGGTTTTTTTGTGTATTTTTTTTTAAACGCAACAAGTCCCGAGCCTTGGTTATTTTACTTGCGTACAGGTATTCATATGGACCATATGGTGAATATTTATTAAAATTTATTATTATTTTATATTATATACAATAAAATATAGGTATTACAATCAATATCCAAGATTTTTCTCATGAAATGTGAAAAACCGAAAAAAAAAAACGGGAAAATCTAAGAAATGTAGGCATTAATTTAAATATATTACGATTTTTTTTTTTTATAGTCTGAGCACAACTTTTTCACTAGCAATTTCGCTCCAATTTATTATGAGAGTATTATTTCTAAAAGGAAATCCGACTAGGGAGACGCTTCAGGGTGATAATTTTTTAATTTTCTCAGGAGTTTTCCCAGCAAATGTGAAAAACCGGGAACATCGATACAAAATTAAACAAATATTTTAAAAGAAAATATATAAAACCTATTTAATTGTTTTACTATAATATGACATAGATATTGTTGACGAAGCATCGCTTTATTAACTGAACTCCGCTCAGAATCGTCTTTTCGTTGGCAATGGTTTAACGTTTCTTACAGGTATACACTAATGATTATCAATAACAGTGGCTGCACACGTCCCCATTATCCTATTTGTTTTTGGCTACACGATTATTATTTCTTAAAAAATTCTACCGGACCCGATGTTAGTTTGTACATTTTCAAAGTAATTTATAATTCGGTTGGCGTTCAGTTTTGATAAATTGTTTGGAATATTTACATGATTTTCGTTAGCAAATCCAATATGATGTAACCGCAAAGACCAACGGGGTATTATTAGGTTATTGTTGGAAATCGAAATTTTAATAATATAATAATCAAATACAAACTAACCTATTGAAAACACCGATAATAATACTGATTCATATGAGTGTTATAAGAATTAATATAAGAAATTTTAATTTATTTTCCCTACACGTTTTGTTGCGAATGTATCAATGTTGTTTCGTCAGAGCTCAATGAATCGGCAAAATTATGGTCAATACTGATAAAAGCTAAAACCTTGTGCTGGGATAAAGTGCTTCTTGAATAATGTTTTATTCATTTTAATTTCGAAAACGAACGCTCTGCACTATTGTTGATGCCGTCGGCGTCTCTCTGATAACTATCGATAGCTATAGCTGCGTGTACAACATCATTTTTTTTTTCTATTCTCTGTAGTCTTACGGAATTTGTGTTCACCTTCGAAAAGTTGGCGCCCCGGGCAGATGCCCCTTCTCCCAATAACTCGGTAATGGGGTTACGGAGGTCCCATTATCCCTACGAGAGCACGGGGCCCAGTGCTCGCGTTACTTTAAGGCCGGTACTGGATAGCCGATCGCATTTAGTCTATTCCCCCGGTAAATTGAAAACTATTCGAACAATATTTCCGTGAAAAAAGCGATTCGCGTATCTTGGGATTTCGTCCGTTCGATTGCGAAAATAACTATTCGAATATGTCTGTTTTTCATTTGTACGCCGTAGGAGAAAACCGTTCCGATCGTTTTTCAAAATATTCGACAGTTTCGTCCGGACCGTTCGAAACAGCGCATCGATGTGGTAGGTCTTCTTGGCAGGGGAGGCGACAATTTTCGAAATCGAACCTCGCGTGAAAACCGTACGCACAAAACAGTCCACATATTTTCTGAGGGGGACTTGAGCCACTCTTTATATTTACCGCGGCTCGGTCGAGATTTCTGGGGTTGGGGAGGGATGATTAAAATCCTCCGAAGACCGCTCTCCTGTTTTGAGCCGACGCACAAAATTAATATTACTATACGTTACAGGGTTTAATGTTTTGAAAAAAAAAAAAAAAACGTATATGTAATATGTTTTTTTTTTAAAAAATTATTTCGGCTGAAATACTCGCAGGGGAAGCGGCCGCCTCTCCCGACTCCGCGTAAACAATACGATAAACAATTATTGCGTCGCCGGTACTGACGATTTTCCGATCGGCAGTATTTTGTTTATTATTATGCGTTACGCGTGGCATATTTTAATTCAATAAAACCGTCGCAATGTTATTATTATTAGCCGGATATTTTAAGGGGGTTTGAGGGGTAAAGCCAGCCGCGGATTTGTGCGGAATCGGGGTAATTTCCGTACGCTCGCGAGTTATTATTATTATTGAACCCCGCACCCGAGAAAATCGGATTACGGTGGGATTGTGATTAGATAAAATAAATGAAACTGGGTGGAACCGCGGATACCGTCACGTTGTTTTAGGCCGGCGATTATAACGCCGTCGGCCGGCGGACCGAAACACAAAATAATACCGACCCGGCAGTTCGCACGTTTTATTTGCCCCTGTGCATCAGGACAACACCGTGTGTAGAGGTGGCCAATTGTAATTTTTAGATTCTTAGTGTAGCGAAGAACGTATTGGTTTTATAAAGATGTTTATTTATTATTTTTTATGTGAACACATTCTACCACCAACCTTACTCCGATGTATACGACGACGTAGACCCTTTTCTGAAATTTTCTTGTGGTGGTACTTGGGATGGTACCTCTACATCCCACCTTCCCAACTTCTCACCAACATCAATGGCTGCATCCGTACCTATTATCCTAGGAGAGTTTTTTTTTTTTTTTAATTTTCAGTAGCAGTAACAGTTGCTGCTGCTACTAAAGAAGAAGCGGTGAAAATAACAGTGACTACTTCTTGTTCATTATTAACATTATTTCTCATATCTGATAAGCGATAACTGATAACTGATAAGTAGCCATTATTGCTAACCAATAAATATCTATAAATCCAGGTATCCAGTAATCACTGACCTATTATACTGTTACCATTGAACAACATGCTAATATTATCTCGTTCAGCCCTGCAGTAATCAATATCCTCATTGTAGTTTTTATACATGATAATTGAACAAAACTGAAAAAAAAATATCTAAAAATAACAGGACCATTTACGAAAATAACGCTTTTATTATTTTGGATTTTGTTTTTTTTTTTTTTTTTTTTTTTTTTGTTACAAGTCAGTTAAACATAATCGCAGGTCTCAACATTTGGGCAAAAAACTCATATTTGCCTTTTCTAGACGCGGTGAAATCTTTTTAAGCCACTTTCGAGCTATTTGTAGATATTTCAATTAATTTCAGTTCAAACAGAAATGCTTGAAAATTTAAAAGGACGTTCGTTATACTTCGTTATAGTCGTACTTGGCGGCAAACGAGAAAAAAGTCGAGTTTAATGTAGTTTTAGATTCCGAGTGGAGTGAAAAATGTATTCGATTGGACAATGATGTTTTGTGATTTGATTTCCCCGGGAGTTTTCCCGATAAATGGGAAAAATCGAGGAAAACGTGTTAAAAAAGGTAGGAAAAATGGGAAAATAGATACACCATCAGATAACATTAAACAGATAACATTAAAGAAAATACGTATAATTAATATGCCCACGATTTGTAATTGTTTCGCCGTGATATGACGTGTGTATTGCGGACAAAGCAATAGCGCTGTCGACCTATATTCCGTTCAGCAATAGCAGCGGCCGCGCCATCGGTCCCCGTTATCGTAGGATAGTGTTTTTGTTTTTTTTTTTGTCTAACGTCAAATTCCGATGGAAATCGTAAATATTACGGGGCCTATTCAACAATATGATTACGATACGCGCGCACGACCGGACTCCCCGCTCGGAATCGTTTTTCGTTAACGACGATCGACCGTCGCGCGCGCACACGCCGTGGACATGCCCGCGATATCCCGTACCTATACCCGCGGTGCGCATCGCGCCCGTCCTTTTTTTTTCTATTATTATTATTGTTATTGTTATTATTGTTAATCCGTCACGTCCCTCTCGCGTCGTAAGCGCCCGGACCTCGAATCGCGGGCGCCCTACTCCCTTACCGCGCGGGGCGTGACGCGTTTTTCTCCCCTCCGTCCGGGTTCTCCTCGCGTCCGTTAACGCGGCGGCGGCGGCAGCGACGGCGGCAGCGGACATGTCGAACCCTCGGACCGAGATTTTTTTTGTTTGTTTTTGTTTTTTTCCCTCCCGAGTGATATACGACACCGCGTTGCGTTTTGTTATATTGACAAACGTATAGCTACGATTTTGACGACGGAAAAAAAATTAAAAAAATCGCCGACGAAAACTGCAACCTTTAACGGCGTAAAAACGACGTGAACAAATTGTCAAAAAAAAAAAAAAAAAAAAAAAACAATAAACCGACCGATCCCGAGTTTGTCCCGTCGACCGCCTTCCGTCCGACTCGCATAGCTCGAAATCTAAAAACAAATAGTCAGATAACAAAACATTATTATGTGCAAATTTTAATTTTGGAAACTTCCTCATTTCCCGTTTTCGTGCTACAGAAACGGCTTGATGACAATAATAGTGGATAATCATTTTTTTAGTACACTACACATAGTATATCTGAGGACTATTCACTTCTATCATCATATAGTGTCATTTAAAAATTAAAATTGTATTTTTATTAAACGTAATTCGTTGTATTTAAAGTAAACTTTCTCCCCAATTTAAATAACCGAATTTGATTTTAAGTACTGTAGATTTATTATAAATGTACGTAACTCACGGGGGGGGGGCCAAACGAGATGTCCAAGGCGCGGGGCTGTGTGTGCAACTCGTCCGGGCGTCCCGGAGCATTTCCGACCGTTTTCCAACGTCCTATCCTCTAATCGCATCTATGAACGTACTCTTTCCTCCCGCAGCATTCAAAGTTCCTCTCCGTTTGTGGGCTTTTTTCGGGTGTCCACTCGATATTGAAATGTAATATTTTCGAAATGAACGGTTTACGCTTTTTACTAATCGGGCAATTTATATGTTGACGCTGTTCCGGCTCTCGGACGTTCGTGCCGTCGGATGTGTGATGGGTATCGTGTCCTACGTTTGTATTGATTTGAAATTGTTCTGTTGGCGCAGAAATTTCTGGAAAAGCTGTCGGCCGACCTGGACGACGAGTGCGTGTATTTGTGCCGCGACAAGAACCCGTACGGCGTTCGCGTGCAGTGCGTGCGCCCCGCGTACGTGGCCACGGCCATGCTGCGGTCCGCCAACCCGGATATCCGCGCGACGGACGACGAGTGCGAGGACGGCGAAGCGGACGACGCGGACGATTACGGCGACAGGAACTGGTGGACGGCCCGCAAACGAAATCTGTTGGACCGCGCCGAGCGCTGGCTAGTGCCGTCGGCCGACAAGTGGGTGCGATCCGCGTTGCTTCAAGGCGGCCGTCTGTACGCGGCCGGTTCGGCGTCCGCCGGGCCCGCCAATTTCACCGGGTACTGGCCGCACACGCTCATGGTTCGTATACTTGTAAAATCGTTTCGCCAGCGGTTTACCGACGGCCAACCGTCGAATCACCACGGTTTTTCCGAAGTTTACACGAATCGTTAATTATTTCGTTGTCATCGATATTAACTACTGTTCACCTGTAGTTATTATTATTTTTTTTTTTTTTTCAATTTCAACTCCTCCATAACCAATATTTACAATTAAAATGTAACGTTTAACAGTTGATGCATACTCCCTATAAGCAATAGCTCGTGGTGAGAGTGGAGAGTCTAATACAATTATGAATTAAATCCGATAATAAAGACGGGCGTTAGGCAATATTTCGAAAGGATTGCGTAACATATCATTTTTTATCGTTGTTTTAAATTTGATATCGTTATCAATTAATCGGACATTCACGGGCAAAAATTACCCTATCCCTCTATTTATATAATAATTACCCATAACATATGCATTGGGTTTGATTGATCTTAAATTTCCATTATACGTCCCTCTTGTATTATATTGTAATATATTTAATTTTCGGAATAAAGCATCGATATTATTTTTGGAATTATAAACATTTTTTCGTTACTACTCCGATGAGGATTCTATGAGTTATATCGAGTGGTTCCAATTCATTTGTATAGATAGAGCCCCATACTAATATGCTGTACATTAATATAGACTGAAATAATCCAAAATAGACCGTTTTTACGTTCGGAATGTCTAAGATATTTCGTAGCTCTTTAAATACATAAAAACATTGTTCTAAACGTGTTATTAGCATGTTGATATGAGATTTCCATTTTAATTGTTTGAAATCGATCGCACCTGATAGTTTGATTGAACATACTCTAGTTACATAAAAAACCATTTGTATTACATTCGTTAATTATAACTGTATTCTCGTATTTATTGCTATTTAATTTAATTATGATTTGATCTAGTGAGTATTGACTAGACAACGCAAATGGAATATTATTTATGAGGAAATTATCGGAGAGTCGGTTTACTGTAGTGGCAGATGAAAACAATCGAGACTATCGTAAACTTCGAAAAATCATAGGAAATATGAATATCGAAGAACTCCGCGGTCAATAAATTCATAAAAAAAAAAAAAAAAAACATATACATATAATAATAGTATAACTACGAAAATAAATACGAAATCGGGCTTCGAAATATTGAACAAAACGAAAGTACACAGCGAGAATGCGTGCGATTACGATTTAAAAATAAAATACCGAACGAAAATATTATTCACCCGACAAAACATCAAACAACGATATTTTTTTACGTCATATAACAATATTTATTTATAATAAAAAAAAACCAAGTACCCACATTGAAGTGTAGTTCAGTGTAAAAATCCCGTTTTGACTGTACGAAAGGTAGGGCAAATACGGTAACGATGACATAGTATAATATGCGGTAGATTGGCGAAGGGATTTCGGGCGTCACGATTGGCGAACTGGCGAACATGAATGTAAGTTTGTAAGAAAAACCGCGTTAAATCAGGGGCATCGATTTTTAAACGCCTGCTCTTTAGAGTTCTTACCCGGGAATGATTTAGGGAGATTAATACCCTCTAAAAATGTCAATATTTTATCGGTATTATTAGTTTTCAGTATTTTTGGTACCCCCGTAGGAAAATCAATTTTTTTTTTTTTTTGTTGATTTATGGGTTATTTTGACGACTCGGACGAAAAAAAAAACCACTATCGTTAATAAATTCGGTTGTCACGGGCAAAACCGTTGAAACGAAAAAAAAATCAATCACCGGGCGACAACGGTTAACAGTGATAAACTCCGATATAGGGTTAGAGTGTGGAAGCGAATGAGTCGAGAGGGAATACTTTTTAATATTTTTTAAACGTTTTTTCGTTCAACACTGCGCACACGGACAACGCTCGTTTAGACGGCTAGTAGGTAAGAATAATATATACGAATAATATACGAATAGTGTGCCGTATAACCCCGAAGACTTGCGAGAAACAGTTTTTTTTTTTTTTTGTGTTGCTCAAAACATTTTTTGAACAATAAAAACATATATAAAATAACACACACAATAATTATAACCAAACGCGTAATGTTTTATACGTGTTTTTCTCTTCAGAACATATTATAGTAATTTTAATTGAATTTTCGAACGTTTAAAACATTTCGCGACCCTGCCTATACTTACAGTTATTTTTCCTCATAGGACTTTTCTGTTACATCCTGTTGAGCCAATTTCGCAATATTGCGACTGTAAAGCATTTACAGCGATTATTTAAAGAGTTAAAGATGTCATCCGGTGTACTAATATTTGTTTGGTAGATACAATATTGTGTTTAAATGCACGACGAACAGTGCGTCAGAAGCGGCCATAATATTTAACAATAACATAATCGTTTGTGATTGGACGAGACGCACAGCTGCATAAATATGACGATGTAGTTTAGAATTTTTATTGTGGAATAATAATGTTCGTTTAATCCGTTAAATAGAAACTTTTTTTTTTTTTTTTTTTAATGGAAACTCTTTGGTTAGATTAAAATTTGTTAACGTAAAGAGTTTCGTTGAATAAACATCAAACTGTATAATAGTATAGTATGTGTAGAAATTTAAAATTACCGCATTTTATTTTTAGTGAACACTGAATTTTTGTAATATAGTACCTATATTAATATGCTCTATCAGAATTTTCGATCCGAGTCAATTAAAATGATGATTTTTTTTTTTTTTTTCATTCGTCCAACTGCACTATACCTACGTTATTGATATTCACGTATTATATTTTTGATGTTTACGTCATTTTTTTTTTTTTTTTTTTTTGCTATATATACACATGTTTTTACATTACTTTTATCTAATTACAATATTAATTCTCAATTGAAATAGGTAACAATATAGTAAAACTCAAAGTGCCTATGATATTAAATATTTATCAGAACATTTTGAAAAGCGTAAACAGACTGATCGCTTTTCAAAATAATTATAACCTAGATTGACATTTATAAATTATTATTATCTTACTATCAATTATTTATGCATTTATTTATTCGTTTATTTTTTTTTACACAAGACGTATACAATACACTTGTACAATACGGGGTAATAAAATTTACTTCTCTAACAACGTGCAGATAACATTGTGTTTTACTTGGCACGTGTTGTATTATATATATATATATATATATATATATATGATATTCATACCTTAATTTTGATCCAATTATAACTGATGATTTTCGAAATTCTAAAAGCGACATTACTATAAAAGTATAATATTACTATAAAAAAGGGGTTTTTTTTTTTTTTTATATATAATACGTTTTGATGTTATTTATCGTATAATTCTACTTCTTACAACAACAAAAAAAAATAATAATAATAATAAAACTGACATTTTCAGAAGAACGCGGCGAACCTTAACGTTTATTACGAAAGTTTTAAAACATAGAAACGAAAAATGTATTTTTTTGTTACTATACGACACGGTTTATATTTTATTATTGTACTGAAAACTTTTTATTCCGTCGTTTTTATTCTGATCGTGACAATCGGATTGTTTTTTTTCTTCAAAATTCGTGTACTCGACCAAAAACAAATTACTAAACCGTATTGTTTTATGACTACGCAATACATTTTTATAGTCGACCGGCGTACAAAATATAATCTTTTAAAAGCAGGGGCGGACAGACTTGAGTGGCGATCGCCGACCGGGCCCTTCTATATCGATAAATCCCTTATACACGATTTCAAGGTATAAAATGACTAAATAAACGCTCGTAGTTGCTGTACTTTCAAACGAAATGGAGGGGATGGGATATAACACCTAAATTTCCTTCTGCGTACGCCACCGACCTGAATACAATAACATCAGTGACATTGTGTTTTTAACCCGTATTTTCGCTATTGTTTCTGTGAACGGTAATATATTTGTTTTGAATTCGACCAAATCAATTATGTCGAGTATCTTCGTAGAAGAATTGTGCCTGAATACCGGAACACGGTCGATTTTATAATCACGAACGAAATCATACGATTTCGGAAACATCGATTAACTGAATCGGGGCCGCTTAAAGTCCCTGAATTCGTATAATAATATAGATAATAGCTAATGAATACGAATGTCTTCCATTGATAAACTATATAATTGAAAAATAATTTATGTATAGAAAAAAAAAAAAAACCCGTCTAAATACATTTAAAAAAAAAATATTTAAACATACGTCATTTACTCCGTACGCGGTGTCAGTATGATAATAATAATATTAACGGCGGACGGGGTTGATTTTCTATTTTTATTTCCAGGTATGGTTCGCTCGATTGGCCAGCGCCGTGCTTCCGCGCGGTTGGTACGTCGAGAAGGTCCTCATACCGGGCATGTTAAAGTACCGGGCTAAGGGGCGGTCGGCTATCAAGGCCGCGAAAAACATCAAACGCGGAACCGGACAGTGAAGATCAGGAAATGGGTCGGGTCGTTATCATCGTAGCGGCGGATATTTCGGCGACGGCGTGCTACGTTGCATTATTCAACATTATATTATTATTGCACTATTATATTATTCGCACTATCGTAGATAGATTAAATCACTTCGCACGTAATATTGCATACATTTATATACAAGAAAATAGGTTTAATTCTCTTATCGCACTTTTTATTATATACATTTTATTAGAAATGTTTAAGAATAGAAAAAACAAAAAAAAATACTATTATTGTTCGATATATAAATTATTGTAGATTTATAATATTCGCGTTATACTAAAATTATATTATATTATTTTATAGATGTTCTAGTATAGTTATAAGATATATATATAAGACGTTATAAACGATATTGATTTGTTAGAGATACATATATATATTAGTCATTAAATACGCGGCGCGTGAAAACCCGCGCGCGACGTTTTCCATCTCCGGGTTGAAGAATAGCCGTTGTAGTCGATTTCAAAAACATCGCGATAAAAAAAAAAACGCCTCCCCGTACGCAGTTTAACGGCATTCGTCGTTTAAACTTGCTGGCAACACCTTTACCCGATGGATTCGATCTTGCAGGGAGGGAGGGAAAAAATAAAGGTTAAGTTATAGACAGCGGACCGGCGTAATATTTGAATTCTTCAACTTTGGACGACTGTATAAACGTACGCGCGGGTTAATGGACGTTTCGGACGTCCAATGAGAATGGACGACGTGAGATTGTTTTCGATAAATTTGATAGTTTAATTTTGGTTCGAAGTTTCAGATTAATTTTTTTCCTTAGAGTATACCGGCCGATTCTTTTATCGTTACCCATGATTCGAATTTCATCAATATATATCCCAGTATTGCGTTCCTTTACGCGTACCCATGAATAATACACGACGAACTGTGTATTGTAGGAGGGCGGAGATTGCCGTTACTATTATTTTAACGCTAAACCCTCGGGAAAAGGTATCTGTGATTCGTTGAAATGTGTACGTTGATTTGTATTAGATAATATATACACAGGGTGATCTATTCAATACTCGTACGACCATCCTACACTCGATATTTCGGAGAGTGTTAACTTTTTTCGGAATCTATTTGTTTGTTGAAAATTTAAGAAACAAGCAGTTCTACAACTTAACATCTAAATAATTTTTTGTCATCTTAATTTTTGGTGGTGAAACGCCTACTTACTTTTGATTTTTGAACATCATATTATACTAAAAATACCTTAAAAAGATGGAGTATTAGTTTTTATAAATGTTGGTGTTGAAATTTTTGATTTCCATCAATCCGTTAACTTGATACTTCACTTTGAAGTATGGGTCGGGGGTGAGTAGAACTAATTGTTTTTCAAGTTCTCGAAAAAAAATTTTTTCAAAAATAGTCGGTACTTTTCAAAATAACGAGTGTTTTAACGATAAAAGAATCACTAGGGAAATTAAAACGGGAAAAAAACCTAATCTGAACTTAAATGTCACCATTTCGGATAGCATGGTCGTGTTATATGATGCTCTGCCACATTATAATTATGTTATTCATACTCTATAAATGTTAAAAATATATATTATTATATCGCAATACATAAAACTGTAGATGGATAAAAACCACGAAACTATTATAATTATATTATATAGATTTTTATTTATTCGCGTTTTATTTAGTTGTAAGGATAAAAATATTTACGGTATGTTAATATTTACGCGCGAGGACGAACACACCTTACGCGTAAAAAGTCGGACTTCACACGAATGGTAAAAACGGCGATTGTTTTCAAATAAATTATAATAATACGTTAGGTTTTATTTAGACTCGTTATTAAAATAATATGAATATTATTTATTATAGTTAATCGTTTGCATTGAATATGTTTAAAAAAACGTTATTATTAAAGATATATTATAATCTATATTATTATATAGTCTATGTGTGTTAAGAAAAAAAAAAAAAATTTTTAATTCTATTATTAAGTACATCACGTACATACATTTTACTTCAAAACTATTTAAAAATAAAATCTAATATTATTAATATTATATAATCCTCGAGCACCTTTTAAAATTGTATGTTTAAGTATACGCACAGCTTTAAACGAATATTAATTAATCGCATAATATTATATAATATACACTATCAATAAGTTATACAAGTTAAGAAAATCATTCGTATTATACTCTATAAATGTTAAGAAAAAAAAAAATTTCACTTTTACAATAATATTCTCGCACAAATATTATGCTTCGAAATTATCAAACATATATAATATATGTATCCGGATGATTCTTTAATCGTTTAAACATTCATTAAAAAAATTTAAGAAACAAATAGCTCTTAAATTTTACATTCACGATATTTTTTATTTTTTATTTCCAAAAATTTTAACACCGATATTTATTTCAACTAATACTCCATCATTATATTGACCACGCATTTTCAGTACAGTTTTGAAAATCAAAAGTAAGTGGACGTTTCACCTTTAAAAATAAGGGTTACAAAAAGTAATGTGAATGTAACATTTTAGAACTATTTGTTCCTTAAGTTTTCAAAAAAAAAAAAAAAAAAAATATATAAATAATATCAAAAACAGTCGATACTTTTCGAAATAATGAACGTTTAACGATAAAAAAAAAAATCATCCGGCACACGCTTATGTACCGTAGTCGGCCGAAAGTTCTCACAGATTGGAAGTACTGCAGTTCACCAGTACAATATTAATTCGCATATCCGCATTACACCTTGCGGATAAAACAAAAAAAAAAAAAAACAATTTTGATTTTCCATCGCTGTATTCAATATTGTAAAAAAAACAACATCGTACTTATTATACGTTTGAACAGAATTTCCATCTGTGGGCGACTCGTTCGGCGTTACTCTAAACTTACTCATATACTTACGCACAATAATATATGTGTTATACATTATGTCGTTTGGTTAGCAAACTATGACATGTTGTTGAGAACTAGTGTTTCCAATATTATTATATATTGTAGTAGTACTACTATGTGTAGTTGCACTCGTGTGCATTATAAAACTCTATGTTATATAATGTCATACTTTATCTCTACATACTATTATAATAATAATATTATATACTTACATACTTATGCACTTAGTGCTTTAGGTTTGGCTATAAGTCACTTTATAATATATTTAGCAATACCGTATGCGGTATCTATATTTGTCTTTTCATTAACTATTATGCATTCAACAACATTTATTGTTATAATAAAACATTAATCGCTTATTAATCGCTTTAAACCGTCGTTTTGTGTTGTGTTCATTATTATATCGAAACACCCGAATAATATTGCTACGCGTGATACCCACTTAAAAATGCCGATTTCGTATGTGTAACTGTTAGTGTATGGGCAATTTAAATATTTAAAAGAGCGCAGTAAACAGAAAAAAAAAAAAAAAAAACGTCATCGATATTACTTGATGACTTGTCGCCGGTGATCCTACGCGGTATCGACGATTAACGGTTATTTCAGACGTCCCGCCGCCGCCGTCGGATGTGCGTAAGCAATATTTTTTAGATGACTGGTTTTTTTTTTTTGGTTTTAATAAGTAAGCTATATATTACTATAATACGATTACGAATAAAATGTATACAGGCTTTTATAATCGAAGACAGCTTAAATAACGAAATTCTTACGGATTAAACACTAATATTTATGGAACTTTTAACAGAGGTTGCCATTCGAAAATCAAAATCAGGCTTTCGTTTACGAAAATAAGATTGACAAAAAACAATGGTATTTTAACATTTTAGAACTACTCGTTTCATAAATTTCCCAATCGAAAAATCTGAAAAAGGCAATACTTCTCGAAATTGATTATCACGTACCTACAGTAAAATGTTTAAAACCAATTGTTGTTTTTTTTTTTTTTTTACGAAACGTCTTAGCACACGAGCCTAAATATAGTATACTAATATACGTTTCCGTCAATGCTCAAATTTGATAGGCGGGGGCCACAGAGGAACGTCGCTTCTATATTAACTCATCAACTCATCGACCCAGATAAAATGTAATTCTCTTTGTTTTTAATTTAGCGTTGAAATGCAACATTTTTATGATATAATATGTATAGCAGTTTTATCCTATATGATAATAATGTACACATAGTGTAGTTTAATCAAAATCTAAAACATTAACAGCGTTATAGATTATTTGAAAAAGATTTTAATAAATAATTTTATAAAAAAAAAAATGTTCAAAATGTTTTATATACATTTTAATTTGTGAAAAGTGGTGTTGGCCGCTCCTATACACAAAGAAAAGTTTGTTGGCTTGGCTTTTCCAAGTCACCGAATATAATCCCTCCGCTTTTATTTTTACAATTCGAGCTATTGATATTGTGCACATTAATAAAATCATTATCATTAGCAATATTTTCCGACGGAAAATCAAATTATCAATTTTGAAACGTTGAACTTTTAAAAAAAAAAATATTATCGAACGGAGAAAATAAACCGCCTGCGGGAAACTGATTGTAAAATATTCGGTAACGTGTAAAAGATATACCGGATAGACATTATCCTCCTTTATATAATAAAATGCTGTATCACGATATCTTTATGCGAGTTAAAATCAAACAATACGGAAGATATTATATTATTGTATCTTGATTATTGTTCTCTAAATATATAAATACAATTTGATTGAAATCGCGGTGTTTAATAGTACGCGAAACGTATTTTGATCAATAGGTCGATAAATTTGTCGTGTTTATAATCGAATTCGTTTATTGTTGGATACGGGTCATCGGGTCATCGAATGGTTTTAATTTCTGATTTTTTTTTTTTTTTTTCATAATTAATTGTATTGGGAAAAAAGAAAAATATTAAGCGTATTGCGCTCTGCGCCATTGACAACGATGTCAAAAGCGCGAGGAAACAAAAATGCTTATATAGGAACAACAGTTTTAAATAATAATAATTATCATTATTATTTGTGACTGTATAATACTTTATATCAATAAAAACAATACAAGACGATTCGTGAAACAATGAAATAGCGATGAATTGTTATTATTCCTAAATAATTAAAATAGGTAGTTTTATTTCGTTTTTTTCCGAACAATTATTACGGGAACTTTAAACATTCCGCGTGCCACTGCATTTTATTAGAAACTTCACTAGCTTATAATTATAATGCAACACAATATTATTGTAAATTGTTTGCTGCAGCCGATACAAAAGATTATAAACTTATGATTTTCAATATTGTACGATAGCGGAAACAAATAATATTTTAATTTTACAATTATCATCCATTGACACGATTATAATTATTATTCTAAACATTTAATTACCTACCTCAAACATATTCTGTATGACGTATAAAGCATTTAGCATAAAACTTTAAAGGATCCTTTATTGTAGAAATCAAAATTTCCAATAAAAAAAATAAATATATTTAAACAAATTTTCAAAAATAATTCATTTCGAGGAAAAGATAAAAAAATTTTGGAAAAAAAAATGTTTTATTATTAGTTAAATATTCTTGATATATTATTGAAAATACAGTAAAATGTCTTATATAAATATTCTTGAAATTAAATTTCTTCAAAATTAGTCAATTTATGAACATTTCATTGGGTTTGAATCGATCTTTACTTGTATCTTATAATGTACATCTTACTAAATATTGATTTATAAAAACATATTTCTTAATAAATTTCAATTTGAACAAGTTTAATTATTTTTACTAATACAATTTCACTAAACCGTTTTAGCCGTTACCAACATGTAGATAATATTATCACTGCTAATGATTAAAACAAAATAAATGATTGAAATTGAAATAAATATGTAGTTTTTATTTTACAATTCGATACAAATATTTTTATTAATTAACAATTATAACAACGTCTGATTTCTTAAAACCCGGATATAAGCCTGCATAGGATACATTACAAGTAATCATTTTCTATTTGTAACAACTCCCATCACATCTAATAAGAAAATATCAGGTTTTAGTGGATACGTTGCCCGAAGCCAGGAGAGCCCGAAGCCAGGAGAAAAGCGAGGATCTAAGCCTAAGCCAGGAGAAAAGCGAGGATCTAAGCCTGCATAGGATACATTACAAGTAATCATTATCTATTTCGAGGATCTAAGCCTGCATAGGATACATTACAAGTAATCATTATCTATTTATAACAACTCCCATCACATTATTTATAACAACTCCCATCACATCTAATAAGAAAATATCAGGTTTTAGTGGATACGTTGCATCAGGTTTTAGTGGATACGTTGCTCGAAGCCAGGAGAAAAGCGAGGATCTAAGCCTGCAGAATTTACAAGCGATCATCAAGACATCATCCATTTTCAACAGCTCCAATCGCATCGAATGATTGAATACCAGATTTCAGCGAATAAAAAAAAATTTAACATTTTGAAACATTTTATTTTATTGCTATTTAAATATTCTTGATATACCTATATTGTTGAAAATATAGTATTATAATGTCTTATTGCATATATAGTCTTCAAAATTAAATTTCCTCAAAAAGAAGTCAATTTGTGTATATTTCATTGGGTTCTAATCGATCTTTACTTTCTCGTACATTCTTAAAAAATATTGATTTATAAAAATGTATTTCTTTATACATTTAAATTTGAACAAGTTTAATTATTTTTATACCTTTTTCGAAACTTCTCGGCTGAATCCAGGAAACTGATTCCTATGATCTTTGAAAATCTATAATTATAAATAGTTGGTAACAAATAGTAATAATAATTAAAATTAAAAAAAAATTATAATTGATAAACTGATAACTACTGAATATTTATTCAATAAATGGATATTGAACAAATTTTATAATATATTGTTTCCTTTTGTTTTGTATATCCATGTATCCATGTCTCTAAATAGCAAAAATAGCAAGTTACAATAAACATAACATATTTATTATACATTTCTTTTTTCTATAGTATGAGTTTAAACTGTTCACAAGACAACAACATTTTAAGGCATTTTATATTTCTTTTGACATCTATCGAGCTAAAGCGTATGCACCTAAAATGGTTGAAACTGTATACCTTGAGAAGGTGATTTTGTCCATTCAATATATATATATATGGTTTTCCTGTAGACAACTTTTACTAATAACTTATGGTATATTAATTGAAAAATATTACGGCCTTTTCTTTTAAAATTTTTTTTACGCGATTTAATCTATCCTAAGTTAGTATGTAAGCTTTTGCCTGGAAAATTTTATATTCATGCAAGACTAATTCGGAAATTCTTATTCAGGAAATTTTAATAAAACCTATCTAAAGAACTTTTTTGAACGTGTTTATTTTCATTAGACTTTTTCTTGTTTCCACAATTTAAATGGATTTTCTAATGATACCTTATGATATGAATAAGGTGAGGTCGGGTAACATGAGTATTATGAGTAAGCATAGAAATCATCTTTGTAAAAATCAATTGTTAGTTTAAGGGTTTATACTTTTTGTGATAATTGGCAGTACACAAGATAATAAAATGGTAATATTTTCGTTAATTTCGAATTTTTCATTAAACGACATCAGCATATTGTTATATCATCTATAATCCATTATTCGCTTTATGTAGATATCTAATATCTACTTGTAATTTATTGCATTAATATAATATATTACTTTTGACTGATTTAACTGTCGAAAAATCAAGGGAAAAAAATTATTCTGTTAAAGTAAATGGTTAAAAATATTACGGTCCATATTACCATAATTTATTAATAACTATAACTATGCTTTTTGGGTAGAAAATACAATGTAGTTTTGGTTATTAGGTGTAGTCAAATTGACTAAATTGTGTTAAGGAAATGTTAGTGCTGCACATCCTGTTTGTTTTACAGAAGTGAAAAAATTCGTTCGCTTCACTCGCTTGTATAATACATACAAATATAAATAAATAATTTGTATGCAGAAATACATAAACAAATCAATGAATACGTCGACCGGAGTATCATATGTGTATTGTTCGGCCGGTTTCGAATTAAAAATTCGGCATCGGGTAAAATCGCAATGTCGAAAAGTAAAACGCGACTGAATTTGGAAAAATAAATGTAAGAATACATAGCGAAAATATTATACAAATTGGTCGTTTTACATAGAAATAGTTCATTTTAATAAGAGAAATTATTTAAAATGAGTTATTGTAAGACACAGGTATATTAATTATACACAGATAATTATTTGGTTATTATTCAT